CCCCCCCCCCCCCCCACCCCCGACGTCCGGTGTTTGCCATAGGGGTTGGGTTTTCGTCGCTTAGCAACGACGTTGTAAAACAAGCCGCTCCCCCCGGTGGTTGCCAACGTGGTTGGGTTTTCGTCGCTTGGCAGCGATGTTATAAAACAAGTCCATCACTTCGTGAGCTCGGCAACCAAGTTACCGCCTTTTTTTGCCTTTCTTTTTTTTTCTTGCGGTAACCATGAATGGTGGTCGAGTAGATCATGTTGTGCGGGGTCGAGTACCCTCACTCCGCGCAAAGGGGATAATCGTGCCACTTGTGTTAAGTTGATCAAGCACCCTCGACGCAGTTAAACAGTGCTTACAACTGTCTCTGGAAGTGAAAGCACCAGAAAATAAATTAAGTCATACGCAGCTGTCATCCGTACGCAAGGAAGTAAGCACAAGATGCCGAAAACCCTTAGCAGGATGCAGCGCACCCTTCATGCGACTCGCCGAATATCTCACGGCGCTTCGCGCTTGGTGATGTGAGAGCCTGGTCCGGTGAGAACCCGGCGTGCTCCGTCCCGGCTTTGTAGGGATGCGAGGTCAATGGTCTAACGACTACGGCATGCACGACTATGAGTCCACTCCCCCCTGGGTTGACATCGAGAAGCTATCGAACTACGTAAGGAAGTTTGGATGGAGGGTTCGCATCGCGAACATGATAGAAACAGAGAAGGTAAGGAGACAAGAGGCGAGGCACGACTATGAGTACACTCCCCCCTGGGTTGACATCGAGAAGCTATCGAACTACGTAAGGAAGTTTGGATGGAGGGTTCGCATCGCGAACATGATAGAAACAGAGAAGGTAAGGAGACAAGAGGCGAGGCACGACTATGAGTACACTCCCCCCTGGGTTGACATCGAGAAGCTATCGAACTACGTAAGGAAGTTTGGATGGAGGGTTCGCATCGCGAACATGATAGAAACAGAGAAGGTAAGGAGACAAGAGGCGAGGCACGACTATGAGTACACTCCCCCCAGCAGGGCAGTCGAACAAGCAAGTCAGAAGAAGTCCGAGAAGAAGCGGAAGGCGAACGATGGTGTGCGCAAAATCTCCAATAGGGAAAAGCGCAAGCTGAGAGTCGGGTCGTGGAACGTGTGCGGGTTCGCAAGGAGTGAGCGCAAGCGGTTGGAAATAGTGGACCAAGTAGAACAAAGCGATCTAGATGTAGTGGGGATCCAAGAGACGTGGGAATTGAAGGATGGGGACGTGGTAAGCAAACTAGGGAAATACCGGTGGGTAGGGAAGGCAAGAAAGGGCTTAGACCCGAAGAAAAGGGGGGAGGGGGGAGTCGGATTCCTGGTCAAGGAACACTTGTTTGACGTGGTGGAAGTAGTGGTGAAAACGGAGTTCGAGGAAAGCCTGTGGCTTAAGTTACCTGGGGAGCGGGGTGGGAAAGATTTGTTTCTAGGGCACGTATACGTCCCACGGAAAAATTGGGGAAGATGTCGAAAGGTTCAGTAGGAAGGGAGAAGTTGTCATGG